TTCCTCTTCACCTGCCGCAAAAGGATCCTCGCTGTTGCCCAAGCAGGCAGGACAGGCAGGACTCTGCCCACGGACGCTTTGCAGGTGACAACGCAAGCAGCCGTGCCCTCCAAGGAAGGGCAGGAGGCTTCTGCTGCTCGCTGTACAGCCCATCTCCAAGGCAACAAAGCAACCCCAAGCTACAGATTTCTAAATCTGGTTACTCCCCATGCAGGTGCTCCTGCAAGCAGCTCAGCACTGTGGCTCCTTGTTGTGCAGCTGTGCTAACGAGAGAGCTTGACTCTAATCAGGATGGGACTCCCTCCAGCTTCTCGCATCCACGCTGCCTGCCCCAAACTTCCATCCACGTCTCTCTCCCTCCACAGAGCTATCTCGCCATGGATTGTCACATGCCAACCCTTCTGCCTGCAGGGCATTACCCAGGCTAGGAATATAACCTTTGGCTTTCACGACAGGCTGAAGTGTGCTGCTGAGGTATTACATACAAGCTCCATAAATCATTAACAGTGCAGAACATCAAGAACAAGGTTTACTGCAAAAGCATCACGGGAAGAAATTACAGTGTAATGATTTTAAGCACTCACTGTCTGATGATGGCAACGGGAGAGAAGACAACCCCCAGAGCAAGCTGCTGCCCTGTCCATATCACCACAGCACTGACTAGCCCAGTACAGTAGTTATACTTGCCTATTAGATTACTGCTACCTCGCTGCAGGAGGAATAATTATCTCAAAAAATGGACAAAAGGTTACCCAAGTCATTTTTCAGCCTCCTCTAGCCCACTCTCCAGCCCTTACCTGGTGCCCTGTTTGGGGAACTGGCTAGATCACAAGTCCCTCTGTGCAACCCACACATAACCAGAGAGCTGGCAGGCGCTGGCTGTCACTGCAAGCAGGAAAACCGATCCTTCCCTCTGCAGAACCTTGGTAATCCTTCCTTAGGGCAGAAGTGGCCAGTAGGCTAATCACAGAATCCCAGCATGGTAGGGGTTGGAAGGGACCTCTGTGGGTCACCCAGTCCAACCCCCTGCCCAAGCAGGGTCACCCAGAGCAGGCTG